GCCGCAATGTTTTCTCTTATTCCTGTGAGAATCGTCCATTATGAGAAGAACCATATTTGAAATTGTATAAGACAGTGTAAGAGTTTGTATCAGAGAGTGTGAGGATTGGTGATGCAAAACAAGTCTCTGAGGATCCATATTTATAGGATAATTCATATAAAGGCGAGTTAATGAGGTGATTGGGGGTTGCATGCATGCAGAAGACGTATCACTATGGCGCCAAGTGGGATGGTGCCTACATGCAAAATAGAGTGCATGCGCCATTCAAAGTGGCGTGGGACAGACCTACATGCAGAGTAGGTGGCAGCGTAGGGGCAGTGTAAGATGACAGCATATGGACAATGTAAGACACATGCATGTTAGGTGACAGGCCTAATAGGGATGTGTCATTCTAGTTGGCGCATAAGCCCAACATTAAGAGGATGTGCCATCCCGATTGGAGCTTGATTGGCGGAGCAAGTTTGTCTTGTTCAAGGCAAATGAATCTTATTTATTCTCCTACATGCACCTAATGTTATCAATACTCAAACACTCAAACACTCAAACACGCAAACACGCAAACACAATGTCCTATGCACCATAATATGTTATCAGTGCATATTTCAACGATGAAACGTATAATTGTCCCACTTCTGGTTTTTTATTTAGAAACACTGATAAAATCCGATTTTGTTTAAAAAGAAAATCCAATTTCTTGTATTTCAAAAAATGACTAGAGGTCAAACTTGCACGAGGTCCGGTGTCACACATCTTCTACCAAAATATATTTTTTTTGTGAGAACCAAATAATATTTTATAAGGTAGAGGTTCAAGATGACGAGGAACTTCAAAATATGTTTTCTAGTCATAAGTATTATGGGTATGAATCGATTGAGTTGTACATTATGATGTAGGAGCATCATCTATCATAACCAACTCAATCATAAGTGGTTGATCCCATCGAATATGAAGAGGCAAAAGTAGATGTTGTTGACGAAAAAGAGAAAGATGAAGAGTTAGAGTTTGACAACATGGTCAACGATGATTCCGAAGACAATACGCTACTTGAAATACCTCCAAATGAAATCTTCGCACCACCTTCACACATGACAAACTTTAACATGGGTGGAGATGAACCATAATCGGATGTTTTTTTCAACTCATATATACAGTCAGATGAAAATTTAAAAGAGAAAGACAAATTTCATTCAAGAGAAGATTGTGTGCAAGCTATAAAAAAGTTTCATATGTTAAACTCTGTCGATTTTAAGGTAGAACGAGTAAATCTAGAAAGGTACAAGCTCAAGTGTGTTCACCCAGATTGTATGTTTAGGCTACTGCATCATACAGGTTAAGAAGTGATTGTTGGGTGATAGATTCTATGTCCGCACATACGTGTGTTAATTCTACTCAATCACAAGATCATCGTAAACTAAATTATGGTCTAATATGTCAAGAAATCCTACCTCTCGTCAATAATGATCCGTCATTGAAGGTGAAAACCATAATCTCTCACATCACTACAGTATACAATTATACTTCGTCATAGAGAAAGGTGTGGTTAGCAAAGACCAAGGCGATTGAAAAGTTATATGGAAATTGGGATGAGTCATATAAAGAACTACCACGCTACCTGCACGCACTTCACACGTATGCTTCTGGAACTGTTTATATTATGGAAACATTGCCAGCAATGCCCCAGACGATACTTTTATCAATGGAAATGGAATATTCAGTCGACTGTTCTGGGATTTTCAACCTTGGATCACAGGGTTTGCGTCCTACAAACCTATTATTCAGATAGATGGAACGTGGTTGTATAGGAAATACAAAGACACACTACTGATGGCAGTCGCACAAGATGGCAACAATTTTTTTTTCCAATTGCCTTTTCTCTAGTCAAGGGAGAGACTAGTGGTGCTTGGAGTTTCTTTCTCAAGAATCTCTGAACAAACGTGGCTCTGCAACCTGGTCTCTGCTTGATCTCTAAAGACATGCATCTATTGAGAGTGCATATACAATAATCCTGCAAATGGTTGACATGACCCCCCTTCTACGCATGTCTACTACGTTAGACATATCGTACAAAATTTCATGCGGGACATCAAAGACAGAGCTCTTCAAAAAACAATTATAAACATGGGGTATGCATTAACACAACCTTCGTTCAAACAATATCGCAACGAGATCACATTATCAAATCTGGATGCAGGTAGGTGGATTGATAATATTCCAGTGGAGAAATGGACAAGGGCATACGACAATGGAAAATGATGGAGCCACATGACAACAAATCTTCTTCAATTAATGAACGGTGTATTCAAAGGCATATGAAACCTCCCAGTAACCGCTTTGGTGAAATCAACATATTTTAGGATGGATTCGTTGTTTGTAAAAAGAGGTGAAATGTGAAACACGGTGTTACGATCGGGACAACTATGGAGTGAAAGTTGCATGAAATATATTAAGGAAGAAGGTGCCAAAGCCAACACCCATCTTGTTACAAGGTTCAACCGACATAGCCACAACTTTATTGTCAAAGAGACAATCGACCACAATGAGGGGTTGCCAAGACAAGAGTATAGGGTTATACTACCAACTCGTTTGTGCGATTGTGGAAAATTTCAAGTCTTTCGTATTCCTTGTTCTCATGTCATTGTGGCATGTACGTATACTCATCAAGATGCATTACTACTTTTATCTCCCATTTACAAGTTCGAGACATTGCTCAGCGTATACAACAATGGCTTTCTAGTGGTAGCAAAACTTGATTATTGGTCTGCATATGAAGGGGAAATAGTTTGGCACAATGATCAAATGAGAAGGAATAAAAAAGGTCGTCCCGAAAGAAAATGTATCACAACTGAAAGTGTGGTTTATGTCGTCAGGTCGGACACAATCGAAAAATTTTTCTCACTCGTGCTACAAGCTCGACAATATAAAAAATGTATGCAAACTATCTACACTTTTTTAAGATCTAAACGTAACTTTTTTTCATTAAGAACATTTGATACGATAAACCATACACAAACTACAAATAGAAACACATCACTACCGTTACGATAAAATATAACATGTAAATATAACATAAACAACATGATAAAACATCTAAGAAATTATAATCGTCAAAACAATTTCATCTGAGTCATGCATCATCATCATTACGTCTTTGTCTGTTTTGACTTCTTCCAACCAAGATTGGGGTCTTCTAGTTGCAAGTGAGGTGGTTCTTCTTCTCTGGATCCTTCTAATTTGTTCCCCAACTTCAATGTCTCCCTTTAGCCATCGCATTAACTCTCTCTTCAGACGCTCCATGGAATGAATGTGCCAAAATTTCATTTTCATCGGAGATTTGGTGGTCGAGAAAATAACATATCCATCTTTGGTGAAAATCATTGGAGATGTCTTGATGCATATAACAGAGAGAAAATGAGAAGAAAATGTGAGAAAGTGTGAATAATGATGGAAAATAGATGTTTTATTTATAGAAAACACACTTGCATGTAGGAGCAATCTCATTTGACGTATCCTCTCTATATTATAGTGTATGCGACATCTCACATGACATAAAGTAAGTGTATGCGCCAAGTGATATGGCGTCTAAAGCCAAAAAGCAAGAGCATGCGCCATCTAAGTTGGCTCTTTCGTTTAAGTGTATTCTGAAACATAATCATTTACGTAATTTTCTTCGAAACATGATTACTTGTGTATTTTTTTTCAAAACATAATTATTGCTAAAAAGAATTCAAAAAATTCCTTTATTTTTTTCTAAGAAAAAACTAATAGTTATTACTCTATACAAAATATAAGAAAAAAATGCACTATTTTTTAAATATAAGTTAAAAACATTAACTTAAGATGATATTTAAATTTAATACAAATTACATTTAATTTATTCTATTTATTTCAAAAAAACTACAAACTCTTCATCTAAATTATAATATTTATATTTTTCTTAATAAATGTGATTTATATTTTTCTTTTATATTTTAAAACAGATGGAATATGTCATACTAAAGAAGACCTACTAATAATTCAAAAAAATGACTTACTAATCTTCGTAAACACAAAAAAAAAACGCTAAGATCAAATTTAAGGAAAAATTAATTAAAAAATTAATTACATGATGAAATAGCATATATTAAAAGGTGGATAATTCTAATAATAACTTAGGTTGACTAAAGTCTCTCGTCATTTTGCTTTGACCACCTCTATTAAAGAATTTTGATATTTTCAACCAAATGTAAAAGTCATGATTGTTTATAGTTGGACATTCGCCAATTTTTTTCTTCTAGAAAATTAAATATGATCTATACAATTTAAGAGCATGAGCATTGATATCATTCGAATGGACATAAAGATTCTCAACTATAGTAGAATACTACTTTAAATTTGTCAATAAAACTCACTCTATGGTTTTGTACCAAATGAGCACTTATGTCGGATTAGAATATTTTAATCTTAGTGATTTTAATTATTATATTTACTTTTAACCAAGTAGCTAACCTTTATAATAATTCAAGTCTCTCTCATGTTCATAGTCCCACCATAATCTCCATCATCCATTTTTAATGAAGACTATATTTTATTTTATTTTTATTTTATTTCAAAATTCTCTTGCCATTGGATTAGAGGCAGCATAGAGAATCCATGCTTTCGACTAATAGATATTGTGTTCATAGTTAATATATTCAATACTTAATAAATAAATAAATGAAAATAAAACATCCAACCAGAAATAAGGAGAATATTTTCACTTTTCTTCGTTATGTCATCATGGTATTTGACAAGTCTACATACATACATACATTCATGAAATTAAATGAAATTACAAAAATAAAAGAAAACAAGTTTCTCTTACACCTTACAAACAACCTTGTTCCTTATTTAATTTACAAAAGCCAACCTGTTTAAATTGAAGGCCGGTAAAGAATTTGGTAAGGAAGATATTACATGAAAATATGAAACAAATGTACAAGTTTGTTTAGGACAGTTACAAGTCAATAACGTTAAATGTCTTTCTACATGATCACAAGTGGTTGGACACCATTGGTTTGATGCTTGACATGATGTTTGGCTTGGTGGATAGACCAGAAGGCATGAGCAGCCAAAACCCTATCGAGTAGCTCCTGAGGAACTGGCTGTCCTCTCCTTTGTTGAGGGGAGATTTTTGCAGTGTGAACTAAAGTTTTCCATTTATCCTGTAAACACCAAAAGATTGAGTCATTAGCAATTAACAATGCTACCATTACAACATAGTTAATGAAGTGATAAACAAAAACAACTGCATAATTCTATTTAATGCCAGAACAAAACTCTATATGAACTAGCTCAACACAAGAATTACTCGAACCTGGGACCTTAAGAATAACACACTCTGAAGTCCGAAACTGCCACCAACAGCCCAACCGCTGGGGTTAATTTCGATTATGACTTACTAACTCAACCCTTACAAAATTGGCTTGATGAGGGCTATTCAACCATTTATAACACATTGTTAGATCATATCTCATCTAATGTAGAACTCTAAACACACCTCTTCATGCCCAGGACTACACATTTGGTGTGTGACCTAAGTGGCACGAGAGGAGATGGTCTAACATAAACAAAATGTTGTGGAAATGACTTGTGCAATCAATAGCAACCATAGTTTTTTCACAATAAGTCGACTACATGGACCAAAGTAAAGTGTCTATGCTTCGATTCAATCAATTGTGACAAAAATTAATTTTGAATGAATTAACTTTGGTGAAAACTGAATTCAACATAAAGTGGTTTAAGAATAAAAATTTTGAGGCTAGACTTGTTTTCTTTTCATAGAAACTATAAAGGCCTGTTAGTTATAAATTAAAATAAAAGTGATTTTGATATAAATAATTTGGAAACTATTCTTTAGATTACGAAAAACATAAACTATGGTTGAAAAAACTTACATGTTGAAAAACTATCCATGTCAAACTAAATTTTCATTAATGTGGATGAAAACGCATAAACACCACAAACTAGGTTTTTTCTCTCTAAATCTTCCCTTACAGCATAAAAATCATATTCTAACCCAACATGATTTTTTGAAAAAAGCTCACAACAAACATAATTAAAATATCAAAAATGATTTTTAAAAGAATCTAAAACAAATGTGCCTTAAGTTTTGGTCTCAAGTTAGATTTGGAGGTAAAAGAACAGAGTACCTTTAAGTCTACATAAGTCCTATGATCTGCATTCTCAAAACATCGCAACTTTACATCACGCCACCTGCACAGCGAAAACAATGTCAGCAACTCAATTTAACTGCCAAAACTGCAGGTGAAGCATATAGCCATCAAACCTTCCAGTTCCAACTTCTTCAACTGCTTGAACAAGTGCTTCCACTTCAGAAACAGAAAACGGTCTCCTGGTTCGACGCTGTACAATCTCAGAGTGTCCGGTGTTGTGACTCACGGGAATGGCAGCTAATGCCTCTGAGCTATTATCTGGAATGGGAACTAGCATTGCAGAATCTCGTGTTAGTTTACCAGAAATAGTGTCATCCACGGAAGAAGCTGATTCATGGTTAATTTCAACAAGGTCGCCAGTGTTAGTAACCAAGGAAGAATCCTGCTTGGCAACAGAAATCCCCGATTCAATGGAGGGAGTTCTTAGAGACCTAGAAAATTCCAATTATGAAAATTAGTTTATAGACGAAAGAAACATTCAATTGAACAGAGATGAACAATAATCAAATTTCATCAAGATGACCAAAACTGTTAATTTCTCATCATTAATTAAATGATGCCAATTAATCACAATTGTCATATTTGAGTTTATTTAGTGGCATAAGCACTTGTGAGACTGTTTGAACAAGCTTATAGAAATAGCCTACCAACATGTTTTCCATTTATTTCCAAAAACTCTTCCGGGATATGTTATGAAAACAATGTATAGCTTACTTATAATTTGTTATAGAAATAGTTTATACATAAGCTCTTATATGGTAGGCGCTAACGCGCCTATGTTATAAGCGCTTCATTAAGTTGCTTATCCAAATAGAACCTGAGCTACAGTGATCAAAAGAAACGTTGGCTCACATAATTGGCTCAGACGCTTCACAATGAGAAGGATCACCAGCACAAACAACTGGAGAAGCTTGAGAAGAACTAGGCTCCAAAACAAAACCGAGTTTATCTAGATTTTCTTTACAAGATATACCAGTTTGCCGAAGAGTTCGGTTGTCATCTCTAACTTTCTTCCCTTGAACAAGAACGCCAACATGCATTCCACCTCCTATTATAGTCATCACTGCCTCCATGACTTTCCTCTATAAAAATTTGTAAACAATAAAAATATATCGAGAAAATATGCTCTGCGGTACTTTCAATCTGTTAATAAGGCTCAATGGAAACAGTAATAGTTTAAAATTTAACATAGAAGAATAAAATTAAAACCATCTATCTATCCATACCTTTAATGAACCCACAGTTGCGGTTTCGGGAACCTCAACATAAAGTTCTGGAATCCTGAATGACTTGATTCTAAACTTGACTGTACCAAAGGATAAATCATCAATTCCAGTAAGATGCAAAGAACATATGGTAATCAAAACAAATGAACACCCCGCAATAAACTACCATGAGAATCTTTAGAGACGTGAGTTTTTGTATTAGCGCTACGGTTATTTCCACAAATTCCTTTCTTAGGTAAATCAGATACACTCTCGCTGCTGAATCCTCCACCACGAGTTACCATTGAACCCTTCTCCGATAATTTCTTCCTCTTCGAAAGAGTGTAACACTGAGATCTTTCGAAATTGTAATAAGGCTTCCTTTTACGACTTGCGGGCTTTATTCCTTTATCTACAAATTACACATTCTTTGGTAAAATTGTCTCTTTGAGAGAGAGGCAGTAAGAACAATACTTTTTGTACTTCATCTAAGTGCAGTCCACAAGAAATAGATACACATAAATATGTGAAAGATAAAGAAGCACGTGAACGAAGACAATTTGTTAAAAGCCTTACCATATCTAGAATGTTCATAATCCTTCAACTTTGGAGCAACCTTCCAGTGTTTGGAAGTCAACCGCTTCCTGATTATTTTGCGAGCAATGCGCCGTGAAGGTCTAAAAGCCTTCGATTTGGTGCAAACTTTGTTGCACCTAACAAACTTTTCGTCATCATCAATAAAATGTAACTTATTATCATTCCCGTGCTTCAAAAAGGAAGCATTGGGAAACAATTCCCCACAAAATGGAGATTTAACATTATTGTTCAACTCTACTAACGAAGGAGAGTTAACGCGTAAATCCAACGGATCCTTCAAACTAAACTTATCATTCGCAGATAACCCCTGGAAGCCAGAACGTCCCGCCTCGTGATTGTTAGTTAATTCTACGAGTCTATTAGTATTAGAATCATTTCCAAACTTACTCTCCAATTTCAAAATCTCAGACTTCACATTATCGCTACCTGAAATGCATTCTAGTATACAATCAGCCTCACTAATCTCAACATCTTTCCCACTCCTCTTTTCATCGCAATTCCCACTTCGATATTGCTCTTTGCTTATCAGTTTAACTTCTGACACATTGCTAGAAGTGGAACTTTCGCCCTCCTGCAGCAACTTCCCGGCCAAAGATGCAAGTAGTTCAAAAGCACAAGCGTGACCATCCTCAGCCGGTTTCTCGAATGGAACCCTAGTCTGAACAATTTCAAACTAGAGTAAGATGCAAGTAGTTCAAACTAATGTTCAACTTCAAGCAAAAAAACACATAAAAATCAATTATGATCAATGGATCACAGACACCAGTAACACGACACCAACACTGACGCGAGTAATAATTCAAATTACTTACTCTTGCAGATCTTGGATATCTAGGTATCTCAGGGACCTGAAATCCCCTTAGTCCATTACTCAGCCTCTTCTTCAACACCATAGCATGAACATTTATAACTCATCAATTCACCAGAAACACACAAATGTATCAAAACCTATCTCTGTCATAAAAAAAAATTCATAATAATCTCAAAACTCAAAACCAAATCAACAAAATGAAAAAGAAAACTCTAAATTCAACCCCATCAACACCCAAAAAAAAATCACCCTAACCCGATCGGATCTCAAATTCCAAAATTAAGAATTAAGAATCATTAAAACATAGAACTAACCTCCCTTTGTTTTTTGGTTGAATTGCGATAAAGTAACAGAAATAATTGGGAAAACGAAAATCAAAACATTGGAACTGACGAAAAATGTAAAAGAAATATATCTATGAAATTGGAAACCAAAAAACTACAAATCCCAACTCAAAATAATTCCATTCTTTTTCTCTATCAAGTTTTCATTTTAATAATAACTTGTTCTTTGTTTAGAGAAAAGAATAGAATATAGAGAGAGTTTTTTTTTTTTTTTTTAATTTACGGAGAAAAAATGAAAAAGAAAAGAAAACCCTACCACCATGAATAAAGAACAAAAACCACGCAACAGTTACCGTACCTCAAAGCTTAAACCCTTTTTAATTGGTCTTTTTTTCTTTCTTTCTAAGTTACTTTTGAGACGGAACAAAAAGACTTGTTATATACGACAAAATACAAATGGCTTGTACACGTGGAGTTTTGTTATTCTTTATTCACGTCATAAATGCCACGTCAGAAATTTATCTATTTTCTCAAAATATACTTAAAATATTAGATCAGTCAGATAACTTGTTCTATCAAATCACTTATATTTTTAAAGGATAAAATTGGAATACAACTTTTTTTAAGTGTGATTGTTATTATTTTTCAATAAAAATAGAGTAGATTTATATTTTTTTCTTATATATGTATAATTTTTTTTCATTTTTTCATTTATATTTAAATATATTTATTATATTTTTATTATAAAATAATAACAATCACATCTGAAAAATTGTATTTAAATTTTCTTTTTTAAAATTAATTATATGATATTATGATTGAACTAAATGATAAATTTTTATTAAATAATAATATAAAATTATTTTATATTATCAATGCACTTCCTTTATCTACAAATAAAAAGTGTTTCAGACTAAAATAATTAAGAAAAAAGATAATTATACGAGAATTTCAAGAATGTATATTAATATGTATACATTCATTCTTAAATTTTTTGGGGGTTAAATTAGGGGTGGTAAAATGAGTCGTTTATTCCGTTCTCCCTCATTCCACCTTAAATCCGTTAAAAAAAAGTGGGACGGGTAAGTCTGTCAAGTGGAAATGAACAGGAAAAAGAATTAAATTTTTTTCATTTTTTTTTAATGTACAATCAATTGCTCCTAGAGTACAATCGATTGCACAAAGTGCATTTTGCGCAATTTTTGAAAAAATACACTGTGCAAATCGATTTGCACTGTAGTGCAATCGATTACACAGCGTGAAAATTTGAAAAAAAATCAGCAATTTCAAGCTTGTCAAATTTTGGCTCCAATTTTTCTTTCTTTTTTGAAAGAATTATCATTAATTCAAATTTTGGCTCCAAGAATCAATTACCAAATTACCACTAATCCCAAGCCTAAAACTCTATAAATAGAGCCCTTATTTCATTCAAATCTCAAGCTTTTGATAGCCAAAATCACTTTGCTAAAAAATCTCTCAATTCTCTCCATCTACCAAATCCACTCAAAGCTCTATTTTCAAGAAAAGATAGTAAGCTTTGCATTGAAGCTAACTAATCTTTGAGCTAAACCTTCATCTAAACACTTTTTCTTTATCAATTCTCTACATCAAAGCTTGGGCAATTGATTCTTGTGGTTGAATTTGAAGCAAATTTTTGAAGTTGTTTTGATAATTCTCTAGATCTATCTTTGGTAAGTTGGATTTTCCATCTTTCACAATGTGATCTCTTGTTGATCTTTGGGTTGATTCATTGAGCATTGTTTTGTGATTCTATTGGTGCTATTTTCTCATAATTTGATGGAGTTTTCGTGCTCAATTGGATCCATGATCATAAGGTGTTTGGTGGAAAGTTTGAATAAGGATTTGGCCTTTTGAAATGTTGTTTTTCCTACTGTAACAGTGTGCAATTGATTGTTGTCATGGTGCAATTGATTGCACAGAAGCATTTCACGCCAAATTTTGAAAAAGACAACATTGTGCAAATCGATTTACACTGTAGTGCAATCAATTTGCACAGAAACAAAATGCATTTTTTTGCCTTGTTTTGGGTCTGTTTTGATCCAAAATGCTTTTTCTACCCACTCCTTTTGATAGTTGGTTTAGATTGCAATTTTAAATATCTAATTTCTCTTTAAATTCAATAGACTTTGTGGTGTAGACGAATTTGAATAAATGTTCATCAATTCAAATCTACCAAAGAGTGAATTATTTAATTCATTTTTGGTGCTTTGGATTAATGATATGTTTAGTGCTTTAATCCATCAAGATGAGTGATTGAATTTAAAGATGAAAAAAATTTGAGGTAGTGATCCAAATTAGCTTATCATTCCCCTCCCTCTTCATCTTATCACTTTCTTTTTTTAATTGTTCTACATGTTAAGGGATGATGATCTCTATATCATTTATCCAAACATGAAGTACATAGATTGCTATTGACCAACCTCAAAATAGGTGCGACTTCTACATAAGTCCACTTACGATTGCTTAACATAGCGCTAAATTTTGTCCAGATTCGAATAAATGATCATTTGTGGCCCAAACCTATGCTTGCAAGCCCGAGTATGTTAATTTGATCTCTTTGATCCAATAACCTTGAGATTAATTGTGTGGAGGTTTTGGTTCTACCAATCCTCTAATGGATCTTCATCAATTTTGGTCAACGCAGATTACTTAAACATCGTTGATCATTAAATGTTACTTTTTGAGGATTCCAAAATGGATGATATACTTGACAAAAAGCAAATGTAACTTGTTGTGTGGAGGCTTTGGTTCTACCAATCTTCTAATGAGTTCCAAATGCAAGTTTCAAGATGGTCATTCAACTAACCACTAATTTCTAACAATTGGCTTTATTTTATGCTTTTATTTTATGCTCTTTACTTTATGTACCATTTACTTTTTGCATTTACATTCCATGCTATTTTTATCTTTGCTCACTTGAGCATTTACTTTTATGCCATTTTTATTTTGCTCACTTGAGCTTTTCTTTTCCTTTTAAAGACACTTAATAATCAACATGAACCATAAAAAACATTAATGATACTTGGACTATTTGGTTACTATCCTTGGTATTATGGAGTATTTGACTTCTTGGACTTAGGATTAGAGACCTTGGCTTATGTTGGAGACCTTGTGACCTTAATAGATATTTTGTCTGGAGATCTTAAGGTTTACCTCAAGACATTGAGTTGTTTGTTTGTTTTGTGTGCAGGTTATTGTGATTACATACTTTGTTTGTAATCTGGAATTCACCCATATACAACAATTACTCTGCCCAATTTTTTCGAAGACTTGATACACTTGAAGTTTGGTTTTCTCAAGAGGTCTAATATCTTTGCTTACTTGGTTTCAATCCAAAGAATGAGAATTCTATCTTGACTCATAATGTCAAGTGTTGGTTTCTTGTTGGTTAGATGGTTCTCTTCCTTAGCTTTTACCTTATGCTTTAGGATAGTCCCTTCATCTCCTCCCATCTTCTTTAATTTTTAAAACCTTCTCATCTTTTTCAAAATATTCTTTGTTTATAAACTCGAATCGCTTTAATAATAAACCTCGACTTTGTCGAGTGCTTTTCTTTTAAAACTTCTTTTCTTTAAACAAACTTCAATTTATTTAATCATACTTTGACATCTTTCAAAATTAACAAAAACATTTCAACTCATTCAAACTCTTTTGTACGCTCGAGCACTTTTACCCTTTCAAACTTTTTTCAAGGTGAGACATGACTCATTGATATTCGAGCAACATTCTACTATACCCATGGTTATAAAGGTGTCGACTTTTCCACTTGAGTACTAGAGGCGTTCTTAAACCCTCACTCTTGCTGACGCAGGGTCCATCTTTCTCACACTCTGTGGGCGTTGGTTGATATTTTTCTCCTAACAATGACGACTTGTCTCCTTGTTTAAAAACAATCAACAAACAAGTATTTTCTATCCGAACTACGGTGCTTTGACTTCCCCATTGCACGATGGAGTACGTAGGCACTAAGTTTTACGACCCAAGGCGAGCAACAAAAATAATAAAAAAACATTTAATTTTCTTTTGTTTCCAAATACTCATTCATTCTTTTCCTTTAGCAAGTAAACATTTACATAACACTCCTTTTAAAAGAAACCAAACAAAGTGGGTCCTGCGGAGTACCATAGATGCTTAGGGTGCTAATACATTCCCTTTGCATAACCGACCCTCGTACCTCGATCTCTAATCTTTTTGGGTTTTGTTCGCTTTTTTCCCATTTCCCTTTGGAAATAATAAAGTGCGCTGGCGACTTCATTATGTTGAGATAAGTCAATTGACGACTTAATCTCAAATCTTTATTTCTACATTTCTTTTCCTATCATTACTGTCGCAATTTTGTTCTCTCTTAGTTCTGATTTGCGTGTGCGACAGGAAAGTGGCAACTTTACTGGGGACAAATTGACCTATTGCTGGTCCATTCCTAAGTGGGTCAATCCTAGCTTTGTTTGTTTCTCTTATATGAGTTTGTATATATTGTTTTACTTGTCGTTCATTACTTCCCATTATGCGGTATATATGTTTGTCTGGATTTTCCTGGTTTCCAGGGGCTTGGTGATTTCTTATAAGTCTTCTACCCGGACTTTGGGCAAACATAAGATAGGACAGGCGGTATAGTCATGTTAACTTTGAGGGAATAATCCCCAAAAGGAGACTTGAGATCCCCCACTCAGTGGAGGCCCCTTGGACTATAGTGTCGTTTACCGAGTAATCGGGAAGACGTACTGCTTTCGACCTGGGAGTCTGCTGAAGCTGAGGACCGTAGATTACCTAACCTATA